GAGCAGAGAGGGTCCGGGCACAGAGCCTGGGCTGCTAGAGATGGAGCAGTACTTGGACTACCCCGAGGAGAGCTTCCCGTGCCAGAGGACGGGTGTGGAGCTCCAGTGTGAAGACCTCTATGGCAGCACCCACCGGACCACGGCTTGCATGCAGCTGAACCCAGGAGGCCCCAGGGACATGGAGGAGGGCTTCCTTCAGCCTGAGTTCTCCCTCCCTCCGTGCCAGATGAACCAGCACTTCACCAGTATGCATCCTGGCACTGGGACCATGGCAGCTCCATGGGATGAGCCTCCTCAGAGCAACCTGGAGATGAGTTCTGGGCAGTCCAGTGTCAGTGCCATGTCTGGGCCACACTTTCACCATCAAAGCACCGAGTACCCGGTGCCCAGTTCCTGCGGGCAGCAACCCAAACTTGCGAGCTCCTGCCAGGACAGTGGATTTCCTGGGGGGCACCGTCTTAATCGACTACAGATCAAATCTGAGCAGCGTTACCCAGCACCTACCCCAGCACTTGCTCCCTGCCAGAACCCCAAACTTGCTCGGCGCATGCAGCCTCCAGCATCATTTGGCCAAGCCATGAACGTAGGGCCGGGAGGTTACCAGCCCGAGGAGCAGGCACCCGTCAGTTACATGGGCATGTTGAGCCCAAGTGGTAGAAGAGACCAGACCCCCACCATGCAGACCAAAGAAGTGATGGTCCGTAGCTATGTGCAGGCCCAGCAGGCTCTGATGTGGGGAGACCAGCCAGCCTCCAAGGGAGGGGAGGCTGCCCTGCGCCTGGGCACTGAACCTGGGCAGTGCCAAGCCATGCAGGCACCGCTGTACCTCAGCCCCAAGTGCTCTGCTTACCAAGCCAAACCAGAGAACCTGCAGGGTCTGCCCGAGACCCAACCCCTCCTCAATGCCCCGTGCTTCAACCCTGAGCTAGTGCCGCATCCGCCTGGTGGCCCTAAACCACATGGGCACCAAACCGGTCTGAACTACGCAGGTAACGTGTCCCAGCCAGGTCATCCCTATGAGGGAGCGGACGGCAGCTCCCGGCGTGTGCTCCGCCTGCTCCCTGCCCGCCCCACGCTTGAGGGGCCCAGTAATGCCCTGTTCTACTACCCAGGCCAGGGCACACACATGGGCAAGGGGGGGCATAAGCTGCTGGACCAAATGGCAGCAAGTTGTGGGGGTCCTGGGCATTACGGTGGGAGCTTGGAAGGGCTCAAAGGCAGCTCGTATCACTACCTGGATTCAGGGGAGCAAGTGGCCAACAGCCTGGACTCCTTGGACCTGGAGAATACGCACCTTGACTTTGCTGCCATTGTGGAAGAACCAGAGATGCCTGCACTGCTGCCGGGGCCCCCCAGCCCTGCTGGGGGGCTGCTCCCTGCATCTGGGGGTGCCAACATGGCTGTGGGTGACATGAGCTCCATGCTGAGCACTCTGGCAGGGGAAAGCCATTTCCTCAACTCCCTGTCCTAAGTAGGAGGTAGCAGCCATCAGGTGGGCACGTCTCCAACCCAGGGTGTGGGGGGGCCCAGAACACATTTGGGCCAAGGCATGAAATCCCTTCTGACGTGCAGATGTGCAGGGAGGGGGGACGCAAACACCCCTGGAGCCTCCCCTTCTCCAGTCTCTGAGTGTGGGGCTCTTCAGGGGAGGGACGTTGCTGAGTCCCAGACACAGCCATAAACCTGACTGGGTGCTTCAGGTCACATCTTGCACCGGGGGGGAATGGTTTTACTGAGCATTTCCATTCCAGTGCCCGGAACCTTTCTCTGCCTCCCTCGGCCCTTTGGAAACGGTGGCCCTGTGCAGCCTTAATGTTGAAACCAAAGAGTTCCACCCTCCCCAAGCGTGTGGGCAGGCCCCATCTCTGTGTTCCCACTGTCCACCCCTCAAACCCTAGTCTTTGTCAGGACTGGAGTCACTCCTTGCTCGGCAAGCCCACCCCTCTCCCCTCTACCTGCGCAAGGAGGGAGAAGGGGGAGGCAATTCTCCAGCAGGGGATGGTGGCGGGGAGCTGGGGGTGCCTGGCACTGCCTGTGTTGCTCTGTACATAGTGTGCATATGTGTATGTTTCCTGCAGCATCCCCCCAGCCCTTCTTTTGTTCGAAAGGAACAGCAGTGCCTCTCCTCCCCATTAAACCCTTTCTCAGGGGAGTGTGAGCTGTGTGCTTCTTTATCCCTGCAGATGGGCTCCAAGCTGGACCCCTACGCCAGGAGCTCCACAGCCCCCCTCTCCTTCTTCCCCTCACCTTGGGACCAAGATCTACTCATGCCTTGCCTTGAAATCCCCTTTGGGCTCGGGATCCAGCTGCCAACTACACAGGGATTCCCACTGAAGGGGTTGCGGGGAGGAACCCCCATGGTGCAGACCTGGGGGTCCAGGAACAGAGTGAGACCAATGTACGCCCGGAGGCACTGTCTCAAGGTAGGGCTCAGTGCCTGTGGGGCTATGTTTGGATCTGAAGCTTTTCCTTCAGACCCTCTTGGCTGCTCTGGGCTTTGTGTTTTGGCGTTGGGACACCACCTTGGCACCTGTAGGGCTGCAGCAAGTGCTGGGCACTCATTGTGGGGTCTCCAGGGTGGTTTGGGTGTGTTTGGGACTGCTCTGAGGCTTTTCTGGGGTCTCTGGGTGGGCTGTTGATGGTTCTGAGCCCCGTCCCTCCTGCAGGACCACTGTGGAATTGTCCTCTTGGCAACAACAAGTCAACATAAGTCAAACACAACGTGGTACGCTAACTATGAGGCGACTCGAGATTCCCATGAGGGAATAAACTAGCTAAAAGAAGCCAGACATACCAGCCTAGAACCTAAACCGCCATCTGCATAGTGCCTCTCTGGGGAGCTCGCTCAGGCTGCCAGAGCCCAGCTCCCAAAGAGTAAACGTCCAGCCCCTGCTCCCACACCAAAGGTGCCTGGACAGAAAGCAGAGATGCAGAACGCAGATGGAGTTTTAGGTGGCAAAGTGAGAGCAGGTTGCCATGTTGATAGCACCGTTGCGGAGCTCACTGTGTGTGGGTGATGCCCAGCACCAGCTCTCTGTCCTGGAACCTTAGGCTTAGGAGCAGGGGCTGGTCGTTTGTGCGTTGGGAGTTGGTTTCTGGGATGCCTGAGAGTGATGCCCAGAGGGGCAGTGTGCAGATGGAGTTACAGGTGGCAAAGTGAGGGTGGATGGCCGTGTTGGTGGCACTGTTGTAGCAGTGGCAGGGGGTGCAGAGCTTCGCTCCCGTCCGGAGCACAGCCGGAACCGCCAGCTACGGTCATCTGCTCAGCAGCATCTTGTACGTGAACGCGCCTCTCTGCTTGGAGAGCAGGGCCAGAACAGCCCCGCATTTATCCTGTCGTCAGAGGCAAAGGCCTGAAATGGTTTTTCGCGCGGAGGCAACGACTGTTGGAGCCGGGTACAGGAGAGGGGCAGAGAAGCG